GCAACTTGGCGAGACCTTGTCTCTACAATAAATCAAAAATTAGCCAGGTGTGGTAGCATGCGCCTGTAGTTCCAGCTGCTTAGAAGGCTGAGGTGGAAGGATCGCTGGAGCCCAGCAGGTCAACACTGGGGTGGCTATCAGAATGCACTGCACTCCAGTCTGAACGACAGAGTGAGACTCTGACTCCAAAAATAAAAACTAAACCCAGGATAGTTGATACAGTAAAATTCCATAAAATAACACTACAATTATTATTATTATTTTTTTTTTTTTTTTGAGTTAGAGTCTCACTCTGTCACGTAGGCTGGAGTGCAGTGGCATGCTCACTGTAGCCTTAGCCTGCTAGGCTCAGGCGATGTTTCTGCCTCAGCCTTCCAAACAGCTGGAACCACAGGCACACACCACCACACCTGCCTAATTTTCTTGATTTATTGTAGAAACGAGGTCTCACTAAGTTGCCCAGGCTGGTCGCGAACCCCTAGACTCAGGCAATCCTCTTGCCTCCGCCTCCCAGAGTGCTGGGATTACAGGCGTGAGCCACTGCGCCCAGCTTGATTTTTCTTTTAAACAACTGCTTTCATTTTTTACAGAAGCACATCTAGTGAGAGCTCTTTTTTTTTCCCCGAGTTGAAGTCTCACTCTGTCACCCAGACTGGAGTGCAGTGGCATGCTCCCAGCCACCGCAGCCTTGACCTGCTGGGCTCTGGCGATCCTTCCTCCTCAGCCTCCCAAGTAGCTGGAACTACGGACGCGCACTACCACGCCCGGCTAATTTTTTTGATTTATTGTAGAGATGAGGTCTTGCCAAGTTGCCCAGGTGGGTCTCTGGGCAACACATAAGACAATGTTTTTTAACTATATCACTCAGTGGCCGGAAGCGTGTCACTGCCCTCTAACCTGGGTGAGAGTGAGACTCCAAAAAAAAAAAATTATATTAAACTGCTCACCTTCAAGGATAAACATGTTCCTAATAGAAATTGAAAAACACAAGCTAATAAAATCTTTAACAGTCTGAACAGGAATTTACCTATATTTTCTTCTCCAAGAACCTAAAGTCTATGTTTACAGCACTAGGGCTGTTTCCTATTCTGGAACAGTATCAGTCCTTCCCACTCATGAATCTCAAGGTTGGAAGAGACATTAACTGTACTGTATTTTATGCTCTTAAAAAAATCCGTATCGCCGGGCTCGGTGGCTCAGCCTGTAATCCCGTGCCTTTGGGAGGCTGAGGTGAGTGAATTGCCTGAGCCCGTGGGTTCGAGACCCGCCTGGGCAGCGAGACCTCATCTCTACAATAAATCAAAAAATCAGCCGGGCATGGTAGCGCATGCCTGTAATTCTAGCTACTTGGAAGGCTGAGGCGGAAGGATCGCCAGAGCCCAGCAGCCGAGGCTGCGGTGGCCGGGAGAGGCCACTGCACTCCAGTCTGGGCGACCGAGTGAGACTCCAACTCAAAAAAAAAAAAAAAAAATCCGTATCAAGTGCCCATCTTCTAACCCATGCTTGAGCACAACCGATAGACAAGTCATCACATCAATGAATAAACTCTGCTTGAAAATCCAACTCTTAGCCGAGCTTGGTGGCTCACCCTGTAATCCTGCACTTGGGAGGCCGAGGTGAGTGGATTGCCTGAGCCTGCAGGTTCGAGACCCACCTGGGCAACTTGGCGAAACCTCATCTCTACAATAAATCAAAAAAAATTAGCCGGGCGTGGTAGCACACGCCTGTAGTTCCAGCTACTTGGAATGTGGAGGCAGAAGGATCGCCAGAGCTCAGCAGGTCGAGGCTGCGGTGGCCGGGAGCGGCCACTGCACTCCAGTCTGGGCAACAGAGTGAGACTCCGACTCAAAAAAACAAAAAAACGACAACAAAGAAAATCCAACTCTGCAGTTCTCCAGGTCTATTTCAGAATAAGAATTGCTACTTCTTAGAAAGAAACATGAATAATCTTCAAAATTAGATTACCTTAAAAAGACAAAAACACATTTGCTTTCTCTTGATACTATATACCCATTCTGTTACCTTTTGAAATAGTTAGTGCTGGAGACCACTGTGACCGTAGAATATCAAGACAAATGCTGCCATTACTGTTAATATTTGGATGATAAATTCTTGTTGTAAATGCAACCTATAGAAAAAAAGGAAATTTCCTGTAAATTAGCTTATTGGTGTCATAGAAAGCACATTTAAAATTACTGACACATCCCAATTACCTTAGGTGGCTTGAAAGGGTAATCTGTTGGGAAATGAATTGTCAAGAAAAATACTCCACCCTGATAGGGACTGTCATTCTGTTGATGACAAGAAAAGTAGGATTAAAATGAGTAAATTATATAAACTATTTATTCTGAAATTAATCTGAATACTTACTGGTCCCATTATTGTAGCTTGCCAATGGAACACTGAAAAAGAATAAGAAAAAAATCACCATGTAGCAATATTCACATTGTATTTATACCAGAGTAACATTGCCCATCTATTCCAGGTTAATTTATAAGTAATCTGATAACGAGTATGGGCAGGATAGCAAACCTAAATCAAGTGTGATCTGAAGAGAGAGAAAAAAATGACTAAAATGGCCTAGAACATTGATAAGGTGCTCAATGAAAAAGTACTTGGAGTAAAAGCATCTGAGCAACATATCGAAATCTCATCTCTATAAAACATAAAATAAATTAGACAGCTGGGCCTATAATCCCAGCACTTTGGGAGGTGGAAGCGAGAAGACTGCCTGAGCCCAGGGTTTTGAGACCAGCCTGGGCAACTTGGTAAAACTTCACCTCTACAACAGATCAAAAAATTAACTGAGTATGGTGGTGTGTGCCTGTAGTTCCAGCTACTCTGAAGGTTGAGGTGGAAGAATCTCCTGAACTCAGCGGGTTGAGGCAGTGGTGGCCATAAGCGTGGCACTGCATTCTAGCCTGGGTGAATGAGATTCCCACTCAAAAAAAAACAACCAAACTCCATACATGCTATTTAAAGAAACAAAAAAGCCTGCTCAGTGGCACACTCGTGTAATTCCAGCTACTCAGAAGGCTGAGGTGGGAGAATGGCTTAAGCCTAGGAGCTCAAGTTCAGCCTGGGCAACATATCAAGACCTTGTTTCTAAAACAAAATTTTTTAATAAAAAAAAAAAAGAGAGATGGCCAAGCTCAGTGGCTCAGCAGGTTGAGGCAGCGGTGGCCAGGAGCGTGGCACTGCATTCTAGCCTGGGCGACGAAGACTCCAACTCAAAAAAACAACAAAAAAAGTAATAAATAAGAAAGCACTCAAGTCTTTTCAGCTGCTGCTGCCAAGCAATCCTCATTCTCTAAAGCCAGCACTGCCTCAAGCTCTCGGACAAGGTGGGCAATAAGGAAGTCTCTAAACTGATGACTCCCACAAAGCAAATGGCTGGCAAATCAGCCAGTGGTAAAGCAGCCAGGAAGCAAAAGGCTATAAAAGATGCTCACAAGAGTGTGCCCTCTACTGGAGGGGTGAAGAAACCTCATTGGTAGAGCCTGATACTGTGGCACTCCCTGAAAAGAGACCTTATCAGAAGTCTACTGTACTTCTGATTCACAAACTTTATTTTCAGCATCTAATATAAGCAATTGCTCAGGACTTCAAACAAATCTGTGCTTTCAGAGCACAGCTATTGGTGCCTTGCAGGAGGCAAGTGAGGCTTGATCTACTTGGCCTTTTGTCTTCTATTCAGCCAAATGTGTAAGAATTACACCGAAAGACATCCAGCTAGCATGTGGCATATGTGGAGAATTTGCTCAAGAATCCACTAAGATGAGTAATAGTTCATTCTCCCCCTCCCCCAAAAAAAAGAAAGAAAAGGAAAAATTCTCTTCTTCCTCTTATTAGTAGTTCCCTGGATTAGGTATATTTTTTCCCATGGGGTCAAAAGGTACCTAAGTATATGCTTGCAAGTGGAAAAATGGGGAACAGAAATCAAGTATTTGCACTTTTTCCATTTTCATATGTGTGAATTTTTAAATATAAAACCAAAGACATAAAGCATTAATTCAAGTCAAAAAGTTTCAGTGAACACACTTTGGCAGTTTAGCTTTATAACAATTATAAATAGACCTATTAAGTTTTTCTGGACAATGCCAGCATTTGGATTATTTATTTATTTATTTTTGAGTCAGGGTCTTGCTCTGTCCCTCAGGCTAGAGTGCAGTGGCACAATCAAGACTCACTACAACTTCGACCTACTGAACTCAAGAATCCTCCCACCTCAACCAAAGGCATATGCCATTATACCCCGCTAATTTTATTTTTTGTAGAGATGAGGATCTCACTATGTTGCTCAGGCTGGCCTTGAACTCCTGGGCTCAAGTGATCTTCCTGCCTCACTCTCCCAAAGTGCTGGGATTAAAGGTGTGAGGCACCCTGTTTGGTTTGGAATTTAAAAAAAGAAAGTAAATTTCTTACAGATGGCAATTAAATAGTGTTTGAAGCCACAGATTTCACTACACTTTTCTGAGTTGGTCTACATGTAAGTATATAGTTTTACTGTTTGTCTTCTGTGCTATTAAGTTTGCTATTAAAACACATTAAACTATTTTTTAAAGAAAGTACTTATATAAAGTGTAGAAATATTGAGACAATTTTTTAAATGAAATTTTCCATTAACCTTTTAAGTACTAATTCTTTTTCAAGATCAATCCTTTTTTTACTAAAATACTGTCATTAGGAAAATTTAAATCAGAACAGGTTTTGTTTAAAGGCAAAATGTTTCTTTTTGTGATTCCCTATTCCGCCAACTAATAGCAAAAAAGCATATTTTATGGACTATGATTAAAATCTACCAACAATTGGACAACACAGAATCCCCAACAGGCTTGAAGCAGAAATGTCAACAAGCTGGCTAAAGTATCTACAATTAGGGAAAGAATAACCTTCCTGACAGATGATGGAGAAAGAAAAATATTTTCAAATAATATTCTAATCTTTTATACCTGCACTCCAAAAACCTGAAGACACTCTTTTTTTTTTGAGTTGAGTCTCACTCTGTCATCCAGACTGGAGTGCAGTGCAGTGGCCACTCCTGGCCACCACAGCCTCGACCTGCTGGGCTCCGGCAATCCTTCCACCTCAGCCTTCCGAGTAGCCGGAATTATAGACATGCACTACCACGCCCGGCTGATTTTTTGATTTATTGTAGAGATGAGGTCTTGCCAAGTTGCCCAGGCGGGTCCCGAACCCGCGGGCTCAGGCAATCCACTCACCTCAGCGTCCCAAAGGCGCGGGATTACAGGCTGAGCGACCGAACCCGGTGACTGGCACTCTTATTTTAGAATCTCATATTATTGAAAATTATTATAATCAACATCAATAGATTATGTCTTTTGTCATCTATATCTGCTTTTAGTAGATCTCTTTAACATTCCAGGAAAACTAAACATACATGATTCACTGGCATTCAGGTCTAAAAGCCTATTCACATTCAAATTATAATACTTCATTAATTTGTATTCACTGTTATAGAAAGTCAAACACCATCATCAGAAAAATAAGCAAAAACACATACATAGGGCTAAATATTTAAAACAGGAGAGGGAAAAGGAAGAATTAAATTGCTAAAATACCAACTGAGACTAATGATAGTTATGACCCTTGTAAAATGATCTACACTCTATAGTAACAATAAAGGCAGAGAAAGACAAACTAAAAGCCACTAAGATTAATTTAATTAATGAAAATATTTGAAGACCTACCAGTGTATTCTGACACACTGATTAAGTGTAAAAATACCTATCGGAGCCGGGCTCGGTGGCTCAGCCTGTAATCCCGCACCTTTGGGAGGCTGAGGTGAGTGGATTGCCTGAGACCTTAGGTTCGAGACCCGCCTGGGCAGCAAGACCTCATCTCTACAATAAATAAGAAAATCAGCCGGGCGTGGTAGCGCATGCCTGTAATTCCAGCTACTTGGAAGGCTGAAGCGGAAGGATCGCAGCAGCCCAGCAGGTCGAGGCTGCGGTGGCCGGGAGCGGCCACTGCAGTCCAGTCTGGGCGACAGAGTGAGACTCCAACTCAAAAAAAAAAAAAAAACCTATTGGAATCACTGATTTAGGTCACTCTCTGAAATCCTTCCAAGACTCCTAGCTTTCCTTGGTGGAAGTATAAATAAGGACAGAAGGCAGTGAAAGAATGTCTAACCTGTCTCAGATTACAAAAGTTGTGTAAATAGTTCTAGAATGACCAGAGGTTCAAGTAGAAAGATCTCCAGAAATAGTTACTGAATGAAATACTGGCCCATAAACATAAAATACTGCTACATTTTATATAAATATCCACTTAAAAAACCTTTCATTTAATGATCAATCTTAAGAGATGTTTAAAATGAAATTGTATAGTACCAAAATAAAGTTTTGATAGTAAAAAACAAAAACAAGCTCCCACTACCACCTTGTTTTGATACTGTCAAATCAAATTACACAAACTGAAAGCTATAATCTGATTTACAAGAGCTTAAATGTGAAGTTCACAGCTCAGTGATGACTCTTTAGTATTCTAGATAAAGGTTTGAGGCTAAGAGAGATAGTGAGAATATTTGTGACTCTGAGACTGAACCTCCGGAGACCTACATTCGAACATACAGATCTCAAGAGAGTCACATTCACCAAATGTTCAAAACAAGACAATGAAATAGATCATATGACCAATAAATCTTCTACTTACTTCTCCTTTTAGGAAGTACATTTCTTCCTCTTATCAGATCTTTGTAGCAAAGAGGAAAAAAATTTACTGGTACATTAAAATCTGGATGTTTTAAAATAAAGCACAAGTCTCCACTTTTTACACTAAATATCAAAATTAAAATCTAGGTGTTTTAAAATAAAACACAAGTCTCCACTTTATTTTTACACTAAGTATCAATAACATGTGGCACTCAGGAATTTGAATACTAGGATAGTCAAAAGGGGCTCAAAGGTTTCAAAAGGCCAACAGTTTCTCTCTTCCTCCTCCTAAGGCTATAGAATTCTGACTACTTATAACAAAAGTAAGATAATGAAAGTGCATTTAGTAGCTGGGAGCAGTGGTTCACCCTGTAATCCCAGCACTTTGGGAGAACAAGGTGAGAGGAGCACTTGAGGCCAGGAGTTTGAGATCAGCCTGGACAACATGGCAAGATTCCTGTTTCTACGAAAAATTAAAAAGTTAACTGAGCATGGTGGCATGTGCCTGTAGTCCCAGCTATTCTGTAGGCAGAGGTTTCAAAGATTGCGTAAGCACAAGAAGAGTTCAAGGTTGCAGTGAGCCACGATCACACCACTGCACTCTAGCCTGGGCAACAGAGTGAGACCCTGTCTCAAAAAACCAAAGTACTTTTTTTTTTTTTTTTTTTTTTTTGAGTCAAGAGTCTCACTCTGTCACCCAGCCTGGAGTGCAGTGGCACACTCACAGC